GGAGCTCAGGGTTGGTCAGGCCTAAGAGGGCCCTAGGCGGACGTGAGCAGGGTCGGACCAAGATGGCGATGCAGGTGGTGCAAGCGGTGCAGGCGGTTCATCTGGAGTCGGATGCTTTCCTAGTTTGTCTCAACCACGCTCTGAGCACAGAGAAGGAGGAGGTGATGGGACTGTGCATAGGGGAGGTGAGTAGGTCAGTGAGTTAGCCTGGCCGGAACCTTGATGAGCAGCCCAGCGTGTCCTTGGGGTCGGTGTTAGCAGCGCCCAGGGCTGCGGAGGCCACAGGCACCCTGGCTTTGATCCTGGGACAGATCCTTTGGATGGTCCTGTCGCGGAGTTTCGGTATCCTCGGGTTGCTTGAAGCTTGGTTAACCTCCCAGCACCCCCCAGCGTTCCGGCTAAACTAGGGGTTGGGGAGGGCTTTTTTCTCGACTAATCCCTGGCCTCTTCTGTAAATCTGGAAGTTATCACCCCATTGACCAAACCTGAAAGTCAGGCCAGAAAGACAATATAGCACAATAGGACATCAGTGTATTAAAGACGCTACTGACCAGTGTTAGGGCAGCTGCAATCATTCCTCTAGGATGCATTTTAATTGTATCAAAGAGAGGAGAGGGTTTCAAAGACACAAAAGTTTCTGCAGCGATAAAGTGTTGCAGAGGAGCGAAAGAGGATGAGGAAATAGAGCTTAGTTGCTTACAATCCGAAGTAAAAATTCTCCAGTTTTTCATGCTCGCATGCCCTATTTTTCGTATAATCTGTATCATGTACATCAAATAAGCATACTGTGATCAATAATGTTTTCTCCTCTTTCTCACTCTAGTTGAATGATGACACCAGGTAAGACAATGTTTGTTTACTCGTGTCTTTTGGTCTATATGCCATTATTAACTCAGAGTTATGACAAGCTTGGCAATATTGGTTAGGGATTGTATTTTAAATTACCATGATCAGACTGGAGCTCCCTCAATAATACACTTTGAATAGCTTCCCAATCCTAAAGATTGGTTTCCACCTAACTTCCTAGTAGGAGGATTTTCAGTTGATATATCTGTGATCCTATGTGAAAAATATGGTTTAGGGAAACAAGATCATGAGTGAACATGTGAAATCTCTTACAGATAGAATTCTGTTGACTGATATGGTGCTGTTATTTTCCATTTCCTTGCTTGATATGTTTTTATGTTCTGTCTCCCCTAAAATGACAGTGAGATACTAGTCATTTTCTTTGTGGCAGATAATGTGCATATTAAGAGACGTTTTCCCCTATTGACCCATTCCTTCATCTAAACTCACTCTTCCATTTCCATGGCTTTCCGCTTCCTGCTGCTGAGCCCTACAGTGATCTCAGAGACCTCCAGTAGCTTGGATGCTTCGAAGTTTTAACTTAAACATAGGAGCATAGCAGAATGTGTACTCTCATGCCCACCTTTTAATACCAAGGATACTAGGAGTTTAGCTTTGCCCATGAAAACTTTATACACTCAGCCACATATGCATGCGTGTCAGACTGCTTCTCACAGCTTTACCTTCAGTTTACTTTCCTTCTTCCTTTGTCTCTGCTAAGGTTTTATTATTCCCTTTTTTCTAATTTATCCCCAAAAGGAGTGACTCCAAATTTACATATACTGGAACTGAAATGCGCACAGTCGCTGAAAAGGTATGTGTGCTTGAATTTGCATGATGGAGACTTGCAGTTGGGGAGGGATTTCTGTGCTCTGTTTGATAAACTCAGCCAGGGATCGATCCCTTTTGTGTAGGACCACATTTGTGGCTGAGTGGCGTGTTCTCTCTAGTTAAATCTACTCACTAGGAATGGGACCAATTTTCTGTTCTTTGTAGCAAATTTTTACTATTTGATCAAGATGAGTAATCACTGTCAGCTTTCCTCCTTGCTGACATCTGTCTGTTTTTCTGGCTGGCTCATGTCATTGTTATCTTTTTATCCTGAGTCCGAATATCTACTCAGGCAAAACCTTCTCTCCTTACAGGCAAACTATCCAAAGCTCATAGTTCTTAGTCTACCTTGACTTTCTCTTTTCTGGTTTGTTCTAGTCATATGGTCTAGTATAATGCTTCTCAACCTAATCGTTGTATAGAAACAGTTAATTTCCCCCCATTATGGTGCAGGCCAGTGCTTTTGTAAAAGACATTAACAAAAATTATGTCCTCCTCTACCAAGCAGATGATAGAGGTGATAAAAGCTATAGGGCAACAACTCCATTTACTTACTAACTCTACTAGAGGTCTGGTGCACTAAATTCGTGCACTGGTGGGGGGGGGGTCCCTCAGTCCAGCCTGACCCTCTCTCAATCCAGGACTGCTGGCTCCTAACCACTCACCTGCCTAGATGCCTGATTGCCC